TTGCCCTGACACCTGGGATGAGGCCTCAAAACAAGAGGCTGCTGAACCTTTCAAGTCCATGGGCTGCAGCTTCAGCATCTTTCATGCTCGCAGGGTGAATGAGGCCTAGCACATCCACGCCGTCCGAAAGGGAAGAAACCCTAACAGTTGTTTGCGAACCACGCAAGCACACGACATGCTTCATGTTTGCATTTGCAAATGTTGGCCTGGGCTGACTGACAGCGAAACATTCAGACACTCAGTGCGAAGAAGTATGATTGTGCGATCGACCTGTTGCTCTCCACGGGTTGCCTAGTGACGAAGTGGCTTCTCAATAAGTGCAATTTGCCTGCCATTACGGAAAGCTCGCGAAAGCTACACCACTGGCAATTTTGCCGTGAAATGCAACGATCCTTGGAACATGTGATGACGATGATGATGGTGATGGTGTTGCGGCATCGTGCAATGATGGCAAATCTAAGGCTTTTCCACCGCGAATGCTTGGAGGCAGGATTTGCAGCTTGACTGGAAAGGAACTCTTGGGATGCCGTTCAGCATGTTGGTTTCGTGCAAGCGATGACCGGGCCCACACCCTGAGCTGGGGATGTTTGGCGGAGCTGGCGGGAGGAATGGGGTGCCCCAAGCTTGTCATCGTCATATGGGTGTGGCTCATTTAAGAATTAGGGTTACGCAGGTGTTGGTGTTTGTTTCCATTTACCTCCACTTACCTAGGGGCCATTTTGGGTACATTTTTTTGAGCCACGGCCACATTGAAGATCAATGCCATTTGGCCCCCCCAGTCGGTGCATTCAGCTGGCACACGATCCAGGAAGTCATGTTTGAGTTGCATATGCCTGGCTGAGGACTTTTTCAGCTGACCGCTTGTGCCTTGGCAAAGTCTTATGTATGGTATGTGGGGTGAGCTGCGTTCTCTTCTCAGCCAATGAATCATGAAATGACGCTGTTTGTGCACTTCATGCTGATCGGCCGCATCCTTGACCCACCGTCCTCTACCCAACTCGCTGATCAAAGCGCATCAGCTCCAACACTATAAACCGGTAGGCGCGTTTACCTAGGATTTCTCAGCGGACATCGCTGTAAGCGCCAACCAGCACCCACGTGCCACATGTCTCTTACTGTTGGCCTTCGTGCTGCGGGGCTGAACTGTGATCACCATCACTCTTGGATCTGATCGGATCTGCAGCCGTGGCTGAGGAAAGCTGGCCGCAATGCTTCCGCTCACCTGGCAGATCCCTTGAGCAGGTGAGACTGTGCCACTTGTGGCTGGTTCGTCGGTCGTTTCGGACAGCAATCACAGGAAGTGGCACCCTAAGGTTTTTTCGTAATTCTACACCTCGTTTCCGGGGAGCACTTAATTGGTGGTTTGGATTGGTGGTTTGGGGATTTGAACCCTTGGTGTTTGCAGAGGGTAGATAGGAAACCACCCTGAACCGCCAAACCACCAATCAGAACCATCAATTATAATTAGAGGGACGCCATGCGTAGGCTATTGCGCTCCTCGCGGCTGCTGGAGGAGCTGCCTAAACAGGTGCTTTCGTGGATGCGGGATGCGGGCGGGCGCAATGGAAAGCCGGGCTCTGGTGTCTTTCGTTTTGTTTTCCAGTTTCTACGGGGGAGAGGGGATGGTGGGGTCACATGCAGGATGCAAAAGGCATTTTGCCCAACTGGGGCTGGCGGGTTTTCCGCAAGCAGCAGGAGGTTGCCCTTCAGAAAGGGGTCCGGGAGAAGGTGACACATCTGGAAATTAGATAAAGTTGATAAAGTTCAATTTGGCCCGAAATTGAACTCAATTGATTGCGGAATCGAACTCACTTGATTGTTTGTGCGGGAAAAAGACGCTTGCAAAGGCTCTGTTGCGCCATCAGGCATACGAATCCTTCGGCATTTTCGCGGAAGCTGGTGCCAACGCTGTGTCCTCCCTTCCATCGAACGCGTCGTCCGATGACGTCGCGCACAAGTGCCCTGATTCAAGGCTTGATCCACGAAAACAGCTGCATGCTGCGGACATCATGGGGGTTGGGTGGGAGGGAGGGGAGGGGGAGCTTAATGAAGGCTTATTTGGGCTCCCTCCCCCTCACCTCCCTCCCCCCCAGCTGCCATAAGCACAGTGTCAGACTTTCTTCCCAAACTTCATTGAAAAGGAGCCATCGCCCCTGAGCCTGGGAAGTTACTGTGTCCAATTTCCACCTAGCCTGCAGAACAGAAGCACATCCGGACCACTCTGCTAGAGTCTGCTAGGGATTCCTGATGCAAACATCCTTCAATGCACTGGCATGCACTGGCGAATGCAGAAGTCGTCATACACAGCTGTTCCTAGTGCGAAACATATCCTCCATGCATACTGTGGATGGACAGAATCCTGCACCAGATTGAACCCATGGGAAACCAGTGCTTGTTGGCATTTCCAGGCGAATCACAATTCCCGGTTTTTGGTGATACAGGATTTCGTCCACAGTATGTCTTGCTACGCTATGCCACGCGCAACAGGCTTGTTAGCTAAGCTGGCAGGACGCTGGGTACCGTGTGTGTGTAACAGGAACCTTGGCCAACAAGGAGTGAAGCCGACGCTAAGCAACCCAGAATGTACAAGCCCGGGGGTCTAGCCCAGCCACCCTTTCGGAGCGTTCAATTCGGCCGTTGGACAGTCCGTTGGACACTTGGAGGAAACAAATCAAAGAAACAAAACCAGAAGCTCACTTCGGGCAACTCCCCCCCCCCCGCACAAATTTCCTCAAGGTTTGCCCCCCAGGCTCTCCTGGGGCTTTCAATGGAAGACCCGACCCCTCCATTACACACCCCGGGAATTGGTGGTTGGTTGTCTCAAGACTAGGTTGCAAGGCCCTAAATCAATCAAATTGGATGCTCTGGGCAAAAAAGCAAAAACGGGCGCAGGGGTCACCTCTCAGGAAGGTGTCCCACCGCCTCCAGCGGCTGTTGGCGCGCCTCGAATCGGAGCTTCGGCCGGTGCCCGCGGCGGCGCAGCTCATGTCGCGCGAGCTGGCGGCAGGCGCCGCGTGGCCGCAATGGATGGCAGCGCCCCATGGCGGTGGCGAAGAATACGGCGGTTGGCTGCCCTTCTTCCGGACATCCACTTGGAAACCAGGGTTGAAACCAGAAGGTTGGTTGTTGTTTTTTTCGTCGGGAGATCATGATTCCAGGGCTTCTTAGGCGGTGTGAAATGGATTTCGCAGAGTAGGGTAACCCCAAAATGGCTTGCCTGGATGGAAGCATGGACCAAAACCTGCGGTCCGATTCCTGGTTGTTTAAGTTTGACCCATACCCACATGGCATTAGGTTGGCATGGTTGGCAACCGTTCCACGGCGAAGAGCTAGACGTGTGGCCATTCTGCACGTAAGAAGCGGTTCAAATTGCTTGAAGCTTTGCTTCACTGGCGGCCTGGCATCGACTAGATCAAGCAAACATGCAGCGCGGAGATGGTTCAGCTGGTTTTTGCCGAGCGTCATGCAACCACTTTTGCGAAAGCAACAGTGGCCCTTTTTGCATAACTGGCATAGCATTGCCTGCGTTGCGATATGTGGCGCTATTTGCTCGGCGACTGCTTGCATAGCCCCACTAATTAGCGCTGCTACCAAGTCTCGGCATAGATCTGCTTGCATTTGCACTAATTGCGTTGTGCTATTATCACAGCGACTACTTGCTTTTGCTTGCATGGCTTTGATTGTGACGTTTCTCTTTAATACCGTCAATACCCCCTTTGGTTGGCGGGGCGGGCCGGCTTTCATGCCTAACACTCGTCTGGAAAGCGAAGCCGAGAAATTGCATTATAGAAGTTACACTTGTGGCTCCTGAGCTTTGATAACTCGGTTTTCCGATAATACCCATCGCCGTGTTTGGCTGGGGGAGACGGTCTCACTGGAAGAGGGCACCCCTTTGGTTTGTGTGGCTGCAAGGCCGGCCACACCGGCGGGTGTCTCACTTTTCATCTCATCAGAGTTGCGGAAGAAAACAAGCAGGGTTAGCGAGCAACTGGGTCCGTGACAGAAAATAAACAACAAACAAGAAACTCAGTTGCCCAAAGCCGACCTTTTGACCTTTTGGTTTTCCAATTTCGATCCATTTTTAGTCATGGCCCCAAAAGGTTAACCGTTTATTTCTGGGTCCTTTGGGCAACTGAGGAAAAGAAAGCATAAATTATTGGAACTCTATCAAAGCCAAGTCGGTCGGACGCCGAGAAACCTAGCAAGGGTGACCGCTATTACAGGTGGGTGTAGGTAAGCCTGCATCCTTAGCCTTGGCGCGCTGAAAGCTGCGCTGCTTGAGGCCCGGAACGTTGGAGTTGTGGTGCCTGACGCGTGTCACAGGGTGGCTTTGCTGCACGTGACTGATGATATGGCTGATTGTAGGGTGGATTGGGCTTGCAGATGTGATCCTTGGAATAAGCTGGCCACTCCTGTCGGAGCGTTCAGCATGTATTGCCCCCCAAATCATATTTAATAGATCTCCCCCCCCCTCGAGCTACCTGGTCAACGCATGAATATGTTGTAAAAGGTGCATTCTCGTATGGTCAATGTGTTTGTGCACCAGCTTCTGGCTGGCAAGTGGCTGGCACGGCCTGGTGAAGATGCTGTTGATGCACCCGAGGTTGCCTTTAGCAGCATCATTCTCGGCCTTGCGCTGTGGACCTGGTGAGACAGGGCACCCCGACTCGCGCAGAGCTCCAAGGGAAGTTAGCGATTTGTCAGGCCAAAGCTTCGCCAGAACGAAATCAGCTACGTCAAGGCTGCAACCTGTGCGGCCTCATGCTGCAATCTTCCAGAGGCAGCTGAAAAGGAGCCGCGCGCTGCTATTTTCGAGTCGGGGGTGGGTTGCTCCTACTGTGAATCGACGAAATCCTGCACCACCCAAGAAACTCTGGAATGATTCGATTCCCTTGTAAATACCATCAATCGCAATGGTTTTAACCATGGTTTCCTGTCGTGGCGCGAGAAGCGGATTTCGCAACCATCCACAGTCAGGCTCTTAGCTGTCAGTTTGAGAGGCCGATCCAATCGTGGAGCAGGGGCGGCGGCTCCTTGCCTTGCGCTTAGTCGACTTGGACGTAAGCTGGCCATGCTAGTTAGGTAGTTAGGTCAATCATGGATGACAATGTGTTTTCTTCTACTTTTTCTGGGGTTGGGTTCTCATCATTTGCCAGTGCCATTGATTTTCATGAAGGTCACCTAGAAGCACGGCTTTGACAGGTAGTTTCGCAATTACCTAGCAAGTGGAAGAGCAGATGCTGCTTGCCACGACTCACAAGACCACCCCCGATTTTCAGTTAATACTCCCATCAGGGAGCGGCTATGAACAGAGCCGGAAAGGACCTGGACTCGACCTTGTGCCTTCAATATGCGCTCTTTGCAGTGACCCTGGTCGCCATTCTCAAGTCGTCTCAGATCAACGGCATGCAAATGGCGGTGCGTGTTTGATGTGCGTTTTGCTTGTCTAGCGGCCAGGAAGCCTTTTTTTTTTGTTTGCTTGCCATGGGCCGAGAGTTACCGCGAATGGTAAGGGTGCACCTGTGCCCAGGAGGCGGACGTCCTGAGGTCCGTGCTGTTCGTACCCACCGAGTCGGGGCACGGGGCTTAATTAGTGGCATGGTTGCGAGGCCGCGGGAATTGGCGACCCCTCTCGCGAGCTTGAAAGCTGGGTGGGCAATGCTACATGGGGTGCTTCCAAATGTGGGACCGGCCGGATCGCACTAGCGAGAGAGAGAGAAAGGGAGAGATTGAATGGGCCTTCACACAGGTCTTCTTCTCCACTTCTCATGGCTACGTTTCTCACAGCATCCGCGTGGGTCAAGCAAAGTCGCCGACATGCCATAGGAAGGCGACCGCTTGTTCCAGGGCGGGGTGGGGGAGATGCATGTCAGGTCGCAGGCAGCCAGTTCAGTCAGTGGGCTGAGGCTGCTGCACGGCCCAGCGCTTTGCTGCCCCACTGTGCTCGGCCAGCAGGCCGGGTTTTGGAGCCAGTTCGGGGTTGGCTTTTTGGGCATACGAGTTGTTCAGCAGGCACATACTTAAAGCGGGGTACGTGAGGTAAGCTGGTAACAATCCATGGTGAGATAACCCACAAAAGCCATGGTTATAAGTCTCCGTTCACTGGGTTATTTCACCAGGCTTGCAAACCACTTGCCTCTACATTTGACATCGCCTGGACGACTCTGGAGCTTATGTCGGCGCATGCGTGTCATCGCCAGGTGGATGCTCACAGCTCCAAGCCCCAAGCGCTCCTACCGGTGCCACATCCAGCAGAGGCTTGGCGCACGAGTGCTGAACCGATGTGGGTTTTGCCTGTGGCCGCAGCATCCCAAATGGCGGGGAAGAGCTGATCGCACCGACGTTTTAACAGTGGAACTCGGGAGAGGTACTGCAATCATTAGTAATCAGTCTAGGATTCCACTACAGGAGCCAGGCCCGCCCCTTTGATAGGAAGTTGATCTGCAATCAAGTGCATCTAAATGGAAGATGTTTCGTTTTTGCTCACATCCCCAAAGCTCTCAGACATGAAGTACTTTTTGCTCCCACGCCCTCAGGCTTTCTACAACGCCTCAGCAGGGGCTACACTGTGTTGTGCTGATTTACGACAAGTTAACCTTCATCTCGCTATCAGGGGTTCACCATGGGTGCACCTTGCTTCAGTGCCAGAGGCAATGCAGGACAACGCCCGCAGGCGTATCAAATCAGTCAATCATTTTCCCCCCCCACCGCCACCATATCCAGGCAATTGTTGGTAGGCCCGCCTGCGGACATGTGCAAGTATCAGGCAATATGGGGATGGGTCAAAATTAAACCACCAGGGGACCACAGTTTTTGGTCCATGTTTCCACTTGCCAGGGTTCCATGTGGGGTACCAATTTTTGACCCACAGCCATATGGGCAAAACGTCGGCTTTCGCCATTGATGCAAAGGTTGCGGGCTTCTTGTGATGCCACTTTTGGCAAGCGGCTGTGCATTGCGCAGGCCTCGGCGGAGGCTTTGAGGTGGGAGCTGCATCCTTAGACATAGTCACTTGGAAGCTTCTTGTAATTACCATTGTTAAGCGGACATCAGCGAGCGTGATTTGTGGTCACCAGTGTTTTGGTTTGTTCTCTTTGGTTAACGTGGCTTTGGATTCTGCACCATCCATTGCTGCTTTTACGACGAGGCGGTTCCTACTCATCGCCCTCGGTGCTGAGTGCTTGCTGCCTCAGCTGGGCATCCCCCAGGCGGGATGACCCTCTTGAAGCTTGGCACGTCCAGCGTTCGCAGAGTTATCAACTCATTTTGGCTCAAGTGCGGAATGACGGTGGTGATGGCTCGGGTATGCCAAACGCCTGGCGGCTGAGTCGAAAATGCATAGGCGCGTGGCATACCCGAACCATCACCACCAACATTCCGATGCTGAGCCGAGTAGTCCAAGCAGACTGATCCGGTGACACTGACACGTCACTTCCTCCGAACAGGGGTTCGGTCTTTTAAGATGCATTTGTTGTGCAGCTCAGGTCCTGCTTTTTTTCAAAGCGTTGGCTTTGTAGGCTGTGCTAGGTGGGAATCTGTCTACCAATCCTTCTACCAATCGTGCACGTGCTCTCATTAATATGCAGACCCTCCCTCTTCATCTACTTCTTGGCTGGTCTTGACATGCTCGTCTCGTGCGTCGGAGTCAGCAGGCGCTCTTCGCCTTGTGGAGTTATTCAGGTGAAGAAGAACTGCACGCTTGACCAAAATATCCATGAACTCTTTGAAGGACTCAAAAGCAACGCGGGATACAGTGGAGTACCGTTTCTCCTTTAACATTGTCCAAGCCCAACGGTGCTCAAACTCATCGGGCCCTGCCCCTTGGCTGGGATGTAGCCCGGCAGGGCAGGCAGTTCGGCATGCAGATGTAACCCATGCCAGATGGTCGGTGTGCACCCACTGCCCACGGTTCTTCCGGCGTTCAGCCAGGCAGATGCAGGTTCCAACAGCGGGCGTTCAGATTGCAGTCTCGGGGTTTTTGCAAGACACCTTCAAATCTACCCCGGCTGCAAGTGCAACCGCGTGCGGTCGATAACAACGGTTCGTTGATGTCCACGGCCCTTCGGCCAAGTTGCAGAAAGACCGAAGAGCCAAACTGAGTTTCACTTCTAGCGGGGTGTGATTTTGCACACTATGCGAGTGCGACAGGGCTTCTTGCACCGGACTTGACTCATTTGCAGCTGCGCTAAAAGGAAGAAGGAGGAGAAGAAGAAGAAGAAGAAGAAGAAGAAGAAGAAGAAGAGAGTTATCAACTTGTGTTTGGGTGCAATCCACTGGAGCCAGCGCTGATTCTGGCTCTGCTAAAATGTGCCAGGCTAGAAGAATATCAGCCAAGCTGCTCGACCCGGCACTGGCCTCGGCCGGCAGCATGCATGTTATATTGGCATCAGGCTTACTGTTAGGCCGGAAGGCTGCCGCAAACAGATTTTTCGATGGACCCGTGCTCCCAAGGACTGGTGGCTGCTCATTCAGGCGTGGCGTGCCAGCCAGAAAAACAAAGGCGCAAGGCTTGTTCATTTTTGATACTCTCCCACTTCGGCCGCAAATTGAGGGATCGACTTTCTGCTGTAAGAGCTTTTTTTTTGGGTGCATGAGACCGCTCCGAGGGCTAGGCGAATGTAAAGGGGCGCAGGGCTTGGAATAGCCATCCGCTGTCCAGTGTGCGGAAAAGCCCCTTTGAAGGGAAGCCGTCTGATTTGTTTTGTCACTTGTTTTACTAATCTGAAGTTGAGGCCTAGAAAAGGGGACCAGACACGAGGTTTCGCAAGGCTCTCTTGATGGACTAATTCCGTTTGAAGGAGGCGGTGGGCAGATTGGTTGGCTGCGGATGTGGTGTGAGGCGGTGGCACCTCACTTCTCGGAGCTTCTGGAAGTCCACCAGCCCTTGGGCAGCCTACCCTTTGACGAGGCCAAAGCAAGTTCCGCGCTCGTGGCGCTTTGATGTACCGAGACCTGAAGCTGAAAAACATCGCTTTCACTGCTATGGTCTTCGTTGAAAGTTGCCTGCGCGCCAAAAATTCACTTCTCTGGACACTGGTCAGACTCTTCTTTGGGGGAGGTTGGCAAGTGCGCTCCCTAGCCGCGATCACCAAACTGGTTGCCTGGTTTCCATTTTTGCTGGTTGCCAGTTTTCCAGTTTTTGTCTGGTTTTCTGGTTGTTCTTCGTTTCCTGCGCCAGTCCGCATGCTGGGAGCTGAAGCAGTGCCTCTCCGCCGACTTCGCCGCCTTGCTGCAGGGCGTGCCGGGCTCGGATCGCTGAGGGAGTAGTCAGGGGTGGAAACCCGGCGGCTGAAGGGCAGTGCTTGCGTGGCTGTGGCGGTCAAAAATAGGATAACCCCAAAATGGGTTGCCCTGGTAAATGGAATCTTGGACTACGACCTGCGGTCCGATTCCTGGTGTTTTTTTTTGGTTGTTTTTGACCCACACCCGCGTGGGAGTTCGAAATGAGGCTGGCAAGTGGGAAGGCTGCGCAGCTTTGATTTGCGGAGGTCCCCACCCGAAACTTAATCCAGGCTAGTTGATCAGCGTTCCATTTGCTCCATCAACTACTGTAGTGGGGCCGACGTAGCCTGCAGGACACAGTGACTGACCGTGGCTCATGTCTGAGGTTCAACTTCCGACGGCCCGAGGGCTGGGGCCTTTGCTTTGAATCGAAGGGGTGCTTGAGATGAGTTGCCGGGCTGGTCATGTGTGCCGTCACACCGGGCCCGGCTAAACATGAAAGCCAGCTGGTGAAACTTTTGAAGAAGGTCTTTTTGCCAATGGGTCTAGCTTCCATGTTTGCCCGGAGGGAAGCCGTGCCATGTTCCCAAGACCAATACGTAAGATGGCCCCAGCTTTAGCTTTGCCACTGAGATTCCTATGGAGCAGAGGCGGCGTTAAGTATTGTGGTACTTTCTCGGCCCAAGTTTGGTGTGCTTAACGGCAAGCGTTGAACTTCTGAAGATTGGAGACGTGGGCCGGTCAAGGAATACCAGACACTGATGATGGGTTTTGTTTCAATTAGGCAGAACTGATGCAGCTTGCTGCATTTGGACGGAACCCAGGCCAGCTGCGGCACCTGTCTTTGGCTGCCGCATCGGCGACTTCACCCCTCTGGCGCCCGGATGCCTGAACTACCTGCTTTGTGAGAGGGCTTTATGGGGAGTGCGTTATGCTCGCCGCAAAAAAGGGTCCTTATGAGAACCACTGGGGAGAGATGTTGAAATTGCCGGCGGGCCTACTTCTCGTTCGGCCTGATGCATCCTGCCAACCACCCGCTTGTGCGTGAGGTGCCGCTCCGTTGTTTTCTCATTCAAAACAGTTTGGCTTGAACTATTTCAAGGAAGCGCAGATAGCATACCTCGCAGTATGCAGGATGGACATGCAGATGCGTGCAGTCGGCGATTTTAAGCAATGCCTGCTGCACTCCTTCACCAGAGACATCTTTTGCGACAGAAGTATTTCTTATTTGCGGCTTGCAAATGCTCCCTACATCATCTTCAATACAACCCGTCTCTTTTGAAGACGTAGCATCAGCTATAGCAGAAGGCACGTCTAACATGTTTCTTTTTTTGTAGCTACAATGTTTTTTTCCAGAACTTGCAGGTCCCATACGAAGTATATCATAATATTATATTTTTCTACATGTACTCATTTTGATTCATTTTCCTTGCTCAAAAATAATGTAATCTGTTGTAATGACTATTTACGATGTCAGCTTGCCATGGGGAGTTGAAGCCAATCTCCGAAGACTTGCTTCAGGCAGGATTGCCTCAGTCCGGAGCTCAGCACCGAGTGTAGATCGCAGCAGGTCGAAGCATCAAACGCCCGGTGTTGCTCTCTTTTCTCTCAACTAAGTCCCCCAGTAGTGCACTTTTACCATTTCTTTTTTTGGGGAGGGGTCCCCTACTAAAATAGACTACAGAAAAAGGTGTGTGCCCTTTTTCTAACCTCCCTACTGCAAAAACCTCGTCAAGCTTTGACTCAAAGGACAGCTGGGCGTCACCTTCCACGTGGATGGCCGTGCCCTGCTGGAGAGGCCGGGGGGGCGGGAGCAATGAAGCACAGCATGTCGTGGCCTGTCTGCTTGGCTTTTGCCACGTTTGGCTCAATGCTACTGTGGATGGATGCGAAATCCATTTCGCGCCACCTGAAAAACATGGGAAACCATTGTTGGCATGTACAGGGGAATCATCATTCCAGGGTTTCTTAGGCTAGTTTACTTGCTGGTGCTTAGGGCGTGAGGGGAATGAACCCAACTCCCTGCAAGGAAGCCGCGAGTTGGAGGGTTCGGAGGGTTTTTTTTTCCCTCGTTTCCTGTGGAGCCCCAGGTGCCTGGATCCCATGTTGCAGGCGCTTGAGCAGAAGCCGGCGCCCTGAATCGGTGCAACTGACCCAGCCAGCATGCCTTTGTTTTTTGGCCCCGGCCTCGTGGATGTGTGCTTACAGCTTCTGTGCGTGGCCTTTTTTTTCCTGAGGGTGGCTGAACGTCTAGAACAGGAAGCGAGTGATAGAACCCCCCCATTGGGGAGTGGTTCCACAGATAGCATGCTACACGTTTGCCCGGCCGGCCGGCTGCCTGTTTAGGCACAGAAAGAGCTGAGACATCGGCTGCTATGGCTATGACACGGCAAACCGCATGTTTGTTTCAGCCTTGCCCATTCATTGGGGCCAAATGCTTGGGCACAACGCAGATGGACTGCCTCCTCACAACTTCAGCAGCGATTGTTCGCATGATTAACATAGGTACATATATATATATATGTGTGTGTGTTTGGGAAGCCACACTCCACCACACAGAATCGTACAAACTGCAGGCAATCACAGCAATACAGCCCCAGCTGGAATTGCAGCTCTGACCAAGCATGAGCGAGCAGGCCGCAATGTGGTCATGTCAAAGTGTTTGCCATGGTGCACTTGCATAACGGCTTGCAGAGTCGCCGAGCTCAAATGGCGTTGGAAAATATTCCTGTGTGCAAGATCTGCCCCTGGCGGCTGCTTTGGACCCACCAAACAAGAAGAGAAACAAGCGATAGCAGAGTCACTACAGAACTGTTGGAGCTGCCAAAGTGTCCTTTGCATATTGCAATTGCACTAGACAATTGAGCCAATGTGTAGGTTGCGTACTAGACTTATACTGAAGAGTTGCGACAATGGAGCTGCTCAAAGTGGTCTTTGCATGCTGAAGTTCGGGTGAACAAATGCGATCAGCGAACTGGAGCTTTCAAAGTTCATTTCACATACTGCACTTGTACTGCCGCATGAGCTTTGGGGTGTCTGCCCAAAATGACCCGTGAAAAGAAGACCGATGATGGCCCCTGAAACGTTGGCATGGTGTCACATGACTGGCGGGCAGGCAACACATACCTGCCGGATCTGCTGGGACTCCGATGAAGCGGACTTCTTCCAGCCGTGCCTGTGTAACGGTACGCAGCACCATAGCTTGCATGCCAAAGCAAGACCTTCAAGAATCTGTGGGGGCTGGGCTCTGGTTTCCAAAAAGACTCCCCTCCGCATGCGCGTGTGCGCGGAAAGTTTGACACATGAGACTGGCTCATTTAGGAGAGTGACCTGAAGCTTGGTCGACCTTGCCGAGGCAATGGGTGCACAAATCTTGCTTCCTGCGCTGGACGGATGTTGCTCCAAGCATGTCCTGCCCAACCTGTGGCTACAGGTGGCTTGGTTGCACGGGGGCTTTAGAGGGCCTGGGAAGGTCCCCAACATATGAGCAATGCCTTGGGGTGTGACGTGTAGGAGTCTTATTGGGAACCCCCTTGGTTCCCTGAACATAGAGATGACGGGTGTCCAGCAAATTGAAAAAGCTTCTCAACCCCTCGAAGGCGGCGGGTCTTCTTCATAGTTTGCTTCTTGATGCTTCTTGTGATTACTATGTAGGTTGTTTCTCCTTGTTGTTTTCGCTGACCAGATATCCGAGCAAGCTAGTTAGTGAACTCCTGTTCTCCCTTTGTATTTGGTGGCTTCCCAGCTGAGAAAGCTGAACTGCGAAAGGTGCCCATTTTCCTACCTGGCTCACTGCACAATACGGGAAGTGGCAGGATGGGCAGATCTGACGCAGTACATGAGGTAGAACTCCTTGATTTGTCAATCAAGCCAGGGGTTACTAGTTTGTCTTGGTTCAAGCCTGCAGCCTGCTTGCACATGGGCACAGAAACAATGGGGTCGCAGCCAAGCATGCCAGGCTTGCTTGACCTTTGAACATCGACAATCTTGGCATCACGATTTTCTGGTTTCGATCTGCTGGTGGCATGACCTCGGGAGATTCTGCCGGTACGTTCCAGCCGTGCCAGGTATCGCCGGGGTATTTCCAGCCTTGGGAAGTTGGCGCGCGTCGCGGGTCAGGAGCACCAGCGCGGGTGCACAACCGCACTCTGGGGATGCGGGCGCTTCAGGCTTCAGGTGGGTGCCTTTGCAGTGCCCAAGGCTTTAAGGAAGTCAGACAGCAAAAGCCAGGTCTGAAGATTGCGGCGACAGCCACCCAGCAGGCAATCTGAATAATTGCAAGAACTGGCAGGCAAACTGACTCAGACGGCGGGCAAGCTGGGTTGCATGTAAGCATGTGTTCGCCGCAACTGTTTCGTTCTTTTTCAATCAAAGCACTGGGCCCATACTGCGAGGAGTGCGCGCGCTGGCTTGGCCTCCTTGCGTACCTGACGATTACCAAGACAAGCGCGAGGCCATTTGTCATCATTTGCCCTTGATGCAAAATGCCTGCGGCAAAGCAGGCAGTGCGCCAACCACGGCTCGAGCGCGGGTGCTTCATGCTTGCTGACAATTTGATGCAGGTCAGGGCTTGGCTTAGGCCAGAAGCGCACGGGTCGCTCTCTAGATCTTTCCGCAGAATTTTTAAACATGCATGCGCGAGCGATGTAGGCGGCTTCGTAAAATCTATGGTTCTCTTTATCTTTCTGTCTTCTTTTTTTTTTCTTGTTTGTTCTCTCTGTCATGTTTTATTTGTTTGTGTCCTTCCTCTTTCTTTCTCTCTTCTTTCGCTTTGTCATCGCTCTTTGTTTCTTTCTTTGTTCCGTCCTTCCTTCTTTTGTTGTTTCTTTATTTCTTTCTTGCTTGCTTGCTTTCTTTCTTTCTTTCTTTCTGTCTTTCTTTCTTTCTTTCTTTCTTTCTTTTCTCTCTGTTTGATCTCTTGGTCTTTTTCTTTGGCTTTCTAATTACCTGTTCTGTCTTTCTCTGTCTGCCTATCTATCTATCTATCTACCTATCTATCTAACTATCTACCTATCTACCTATCTACCTATCTATTTGTTGCTCCATCTACCCGCTGCTTGGGAGCAGCACCGCCTCGCGAAACCTGACACGTCCTACCACGAAATGCATACCTCACCTTGCGAAACGCCTGCGCCTATTACTGGAAACTGATGTGCTCGCATCTGCGCCAATTGGCCTCGCTCCGAGGCTACTCAAACGCGCTCCGGATACGGTCCGAGAGCGATCCGACCAGGCGTCGCGATAAAACTTTTGTTAGGCCGTGAAACACGCAGAAGGGTTGCTCATTTTTAACATCTTTTCTCCCTGCCTCACACGCACGCATTTGTTCGCGCTTGCCTATTCTTCTCTTGCCTTCTCTCAAAGAGCTAGCTCTCATCCTCCTTCTAAACGATGCGAGGCTAGCGTGAGGCGCTAGCCTCTACCGACATGGTGTGGAGGCATGCCGGCTTGTTTCAGGGCAGGACCGAGAATCAGCCCTCAATTGCCGTTGTGTGCTTGCCGACTGCTGCGGGCAGGCTGATCTACAAACGGTTACTGCCAGCAGCGTGTGATGGGCGGCCCTTTTCCTTCAACCTCTACTGGCCAGCAGGCTGGGTTGTGTGAACTGTTCAAGTCAGCTTTCACCTCTTGTGCTTTCTTGAAGCTTGCACCCACCCACCACAAACAGACGCAGAGACACACAGACCACACAGACAGACAGAGACAGACAGAGCGGGCACACGCACACACGCACATGCACATGCACATGCACATGCACATGCACATGCACATGCACAT